GAAAGAGAGAGAGAAAAACATTGATCAGTTGCCTCTTACAAGAACCCCAACTGGAGATCAAACCCGAAACCTAGGTATGTGCCCCGACTGAGAATCGAACCCGCAACCTTTTGGTGTATGGGATGGAACTCCAAGCAACTGAGCTATCCAGTAAGTGCAAGAAAATCCTGTTGGGACTAAGTCCCTCACAGGGGTGGCAAGTAGCCCAGCACCCTAAGGGGCCCATGGTTTTAGTTGTTGGGGCCCCACCCTCCATCCTACTGAGGAAGGTCCCCAGGCTCGGAGAGCTGACGTGACTGCCCAGGTCCCTGTCCCAGACTCGGGAGCTTGGTGGCCCAGCCAGCACTTAATCCAGGCAGCAAGAAGGCAGACTTTTGATTTTAAAGCGCACAGAATTCAACACACCCCTGTTCTCGGGACCATCGCTGGACTTCAGGGTGTTTGCAAACTTTCCAGTCCTCTTGCAAATTCAGGGATTCTGAGCTTTAAATCAAGCTGCAGCTATTTCAGGGGTTGGAGTTTAATTTGCTTGGGACAAAATGCGCTTCCTGGTTAGAAGGAAAGCCATTTATGGGGCTTATAAAAAGAGTTCCGGAAGATTCTTGGACACGAAACGGCTCTCACGAAGCGGTTGTGCTGAGTGAAGCGGAAGCGCATCGGAGACGCAGATTCAATTCCCTAAAATCCACTTGGGTATAAGAAATGTCAGGAAAGGGGCCTTGGCCAGGCACCCATTGCCAGGCCCCAAATGTCTGGAAACGAATTTCAGTGTGTTCGTTTGGCCAGTCACCCTTGGGCTCGTCTATCCCAGCCCCGCAGTGACAAGCCTTCCCTCCTGCTTTGCAGCCAGGACACCCCTCCCCCCCCCATAAAGGAGCATCAATTACCGAAGAATCTTCCTGGGCAGTGTTGCCATGATCTGGAGTCTGGGGTACACACAGGGTGGGGAGTGGGGAAGTTGTTAAAAATCTGTGTTCTCCTGAGATAGTTGGGGGGGGGGTTCTGTATGTAGCTGCGCCTCTGTGGTGTCAAAGCCACTCAAGCAGCACTCTCAAGGGTCCCCTGGAATCAGAAAGTTTCTATAATGTACAATGTGTCTTATCGTGTGTTTAGGCATATTTATGTAGATTTTCATCTAGTTCTTTTTTAACCTGGCATTATGGTTATCCTAAAACACCACCCCACCCACAGGGAATAGGTTAATTAGTGACCTATATAGCATTTCCAATGTATAGTGCTTTGCATCTTGAGCATGCTTGCAGGCATTGAGTTTGTATTATATTACATATTACTTCTACATTACATTATTTATATAGTATATTATTTACATGTTATATTATTTATATATTATATTTTTACATAATGTATTACTTATATATTTATTATATCCTATCATATCATGTTATATTAATTATATTATAAATCATCATCAAACATAGTGTATCAATGTAAACACAATGGGTTGGATAAGGTGTGTTTTTGGCCAGTAATAGTAAAGAAGCATAAATATTAGGAACAAAACACAGAATTATAGGCCCTACACGGCCTAAGTGTGCATCGTATAAATTCTGTGGACACTTCAGTTGTTGTGAATTCCTGCCCACTTTTTAATCCCGGGAAGTGCCAGGTTTGCACCTGCTTGCGACGTCCAGCGGTTCCATCGCACTTCTCCAGTTGGCCACTAGGTGTCAGGAGACCAAATTGAGTAGGAAAAGGCCACTGAAGTTTGCTCTGTGAGAAACAGGAATTCCCCAATTAAAATAAGTGGTGTTGCACAAGCTTATTTACATTAGAATCCCCCAAACTTCTATTGTATCATAGACACAATGCTATAACTGGTTATTAGTTTCCAGGCTAGCCCACAAAAGCCCATTAGCGTCGTCTTCTTCTTTTTTTATATATACTTGTATTGATTTCAGAGAGAGGAAGGGAGAGAGAGAGAAGCATCAGTAATGAGAGAGTCATTGATCGGCTGCCTCCTGCACACCCCCGGCTGGGGATCGAGCCCGCAACCCGGGCCTGTGCCCTGACCGGGAATCGAACCGCGATCTCCTGGATCCTAGGTCGATGCTCAACCACTGGGCTACACAGGCTGGGCCTCACTAGCTTCCTAATGAGCCTAAAATGGGTTCCTGCCTTTGAGACCAAACATGGGAATGGGGTGACACCCCACCCAGAGAACACTTGGGCCTGGCGCCTGAGCTTCTCAAACCGCCACCTCTTTTGAAAACTGGAGTAATGATTCCTGCCCAGCAAAGGGGGTCCTGGGAATCAAGGGACATGCCAAGGGCATGTGCAGTAAAACAGACAGGAAGCCGTCACCGCGGCCTTCTCCTGTTCCCTTGCTCATGGGTTAGGGCCAGTTCTTCTCAGTCTTTGTAGTCCTGACAGGCTACGAGGTTTCCTTCCCAGGCTGACTCTCGGGTATTAGTGGGGCACCCACAGCACCGGGCAGAAGGATCTCCACTCGCCATCAGAGCTGTGATTGATTAGTGCTATGGGCGGGCACTCAGGGCAGCCCTAGGAACCGGCCTTCTCACAGCCTTTGTGCCTTTGTGCATAGGAATTGCCTGGCATCTTGCTAACGTGCAGATTTGATTCACTGGTCTGGGGTGGGGCTCAGGATCCTGCACTTCTAACAGGCTAACGCATCTCTGTCCTTCCCAGCTGGGCAGCTTATAGTACCTCTTTGGAGGTTTTGAGAAATGCAGGCTTTCGGGCCCTGCCCTAAACCTATGGAGGCAGAATCTGCCTGTTAACCAGGAATTTCATATGAATATCAAGAGATGAGAGCTCTGCCAGACTCTGCTCTCTGGTTGGCTAATATCTGGCCTCTCAAGAAAGGCACCCCGGTCCCCCCAGCATGGTCAGAGGGCTGATTGAGCCCTTTTTCTCTTTAAACTTCTCTTTATT